AAGGGACTTCGTCCCAGAATAAAATTATTTTTCTATACTATTCTATTCTATTCTATATATATATATATATATATATATATATATATATGTATATATATATATATATATACACACACATATACACACCCATATATATATATATATATATATATATATATATATATATATATATATATATATATATATATATATATATATATACACACCTAAACACATACACATAAATATATATACACATAAATGTACACAACACATATCTATAAAATAAAAAAAAATAAAAAAAAAAAAAATATATATATATATATATATATATATATATATATATATATATATATATATATATATATATATAGTGGTTTGTAGTCTAATTGAATGAAAACACTTTCCGTAAGTAGTCTTTTGTCGTGGTTAGGTACTGTGGCAAGAATGGAGGTATTGTCAAAGTCAAATGTGTGGTTTGAGGATAAGGCGTGTTCAGAGAGTTTAGAAGCGGTAGAGTTCTTAGAAGTAATTGAGTATTTGTGTTGTTTGATGCGGTCTTTAAGTTGGTTTTTGGTTTCTCCAATATAGGCAGAGTTACAATTGGTGGTAGAGCAAGGAAAACACGACATTAGAGCGGTGTTGCGGAGGGATGGGGTCTTTTAGGTTGGAGTAAATATTGGCAGGTTTGTTATAGTTTTTAAACGCAACTCGCAGGTTGGGAATAGAGGAACGTAAATATTTTTGAATTCTATCCGAAAGTAAAGGGATGTATGGTAGAGATCTATATAAAGGAATGGGGGGCTGATTTTGAGAACTAGAGAAAGGGATGGAGGATGAGGGGCGGGTTTTGTAGTCAGTAATAAGTTTTTTAATGGTGTTGGAGGGGAAGTTATTAGACAATAGTATCCGTTGTATGCGTCTAGTGTTTGTTTCATGTAGGTAAGGGTCAGATAGAGAAAAACATCAGTGAATGAGGTTTTTGGCAACGTTAAGTTTTTGGTGAAAAGGGTGTTGAGAATAGTAGTTGAGTAATCTGCCATAGAATGTCGGTTTTGTGTACCAGTCTGTGGATAAAGTATTGTTGGGATGTCTTTTAATGAGAAGATCGAGGAAAGGGAGGGAATAGTTATCTTCGTATTCAACTGTAAAAGAGAGGCAGGGATGATATGAGTTAAAGGCGGAAAGGATGTCAGGAATAGTATCAGGATTGACGATGAGAAGGTCATCGACGTATTTTTTTATAAGAAATATCTCATTAGGAAACTGTGGGGCTATGGTGTCTAGGAGATCATTAAGAACAATGTTAGATAAGTCGGGTGCGAGAGGATTACCCATAGCTAATCCTGCAATTTGATTATAAAATTGTCCATGGAACTGGAGATAACCAGATTTGCAACAAAGTTGTAGGGATTCAATAAATGAGGAACGGTTAAGGGAGGTATGAGACTCTAAGGATGACCAGTTATTTTCTACTATAAGAAAGGCTTTATCTATAGGGATGTTGGTGAAGAGGCTTTTAACGTCGAAGGAGACTAGAATGTAATTATCGGGAATGGTTAGGGATAATAACAGATTACGCAGATGAAAGGAGTTGTGGATATCATATGGATTGTCATGACTAAGGATTTGTAAGGATTGGAGTAGAAATTTGCTGAGTTTTAAAGAGGGAGAGTTGATATTAGAAGTGATAAGACGGAGAGGAGTGCCGGGTTTGTGAACTTTTGGAAGACCATAGAAACGGGGATCCACGGAGTTATAAGATAACGCTTGTGCTTGAAGACGACCTGCAAAGTGGGTCGAAACGTCGGCAAAAATTAAAATAATTTATATATTTTAATTTGTTTATTTATTTGACCGCACCCTCGACTAACTCCTTCTCAAATTACATAGATAGTTTTCATATGTCTGCCTATAGAGTTTGCAACTTAAAATTGCAGAAGAAACAAGAGGGGGAAGAGTAAGAAGGCACTTTTATGGGAAGCCTTGGCGAGAGAACACTTTTATGGGAAGTAGTGGCAAGAGAAGACTTAGCGGAGACATAAGAAGAAATAACGTCCATCAGTATTCATCATCACTGCACAGCAAGTAAAGCACTAAATATTAGGGGGCTAGAAAGTAATGTCGTTTTTGAGCAAGAGATTATTTGATAGTCATTAAGTAGCTCCATGTGTACATCTATGCCGTGTCAAAGACATTCTGAGGTTTTAGTGACTTCTTTAGTACCAAATAATTAATTTTTTTAAATTTATTTATTGAATAATATAACATTCTGTCACTGAGACATTGGTTATAAAGAGTTAAGATCACATTCACACAATATGTACAAAAAATAAAATAAATAGATAATAATCAAAAAGTATATACAATAAATAAAATAAAATAACTTAAAGATAAGATAATAACTTAAAATACAACAAAAACACAGACTACTAAATACCTAAATAGACTATTTACAATTAGGCGAGAAAACTCCAAGGCAGGCTTGTCCCTCCAACTATGGAGCCGTAAAAAGCAGGACTCCAGGTCCTTGTGCTACTCTTTTAACCGCTTCACTGGTACTAAAGCCGGTGGAGATTGATTGAGAAAGCTTTAGCCACATTCAGTGTGCCTTGTCTATCTACTATTCCTGTGATTTATTTCACTTGAAGTGATGAAACCTGGACAAAATGTGAATGCAGACGTTTATTGTGAACAAATAGATTGTGTATATCAACCTTTAATTGAAAAGTGGCCAGCGATTGTCAACAGAAAAGGCGTTATTCTGCAACACAAAAATGCAAGAATGCACTGCGTAAGACGAACCCTGGAAAAATTTAATGAATTGGGGTGGGAGGTACTGTCTAATCCAGCATACTTGTCCAATGTTTTTAAGTGGCAAAATTAACTAACTAACAAACTCCATGGCGCTACAGACCGGTGTGGTCCTTGGCCGCCTCAATGAACCCTAGCCAGATGGCTCTATCTTGCGCAGTCACTCGCCAGTTGCGGGTATGCAATATTTCTCTGGCATCCAGGATGAAGGCGTCCTCCCATTTTAGACGTGGTCTGCCCTTCCCTCTTGTCCTGCAGAGCTTCCCATCAAGCAACTTCCTTGGGACTTCCTCTTCTGGGATTCTGGCCACATGGCCAGCCCAACGTAGTCGCTCAAGCTTGATGCACCGCAACACATCTGTCTCCCCATACAGATCATATAGGTCAATGTTACTCCTCCTTCTCCAATCATCAACAACCTTAACAGGTCCAATGATACGCCCGGAGGATCTTCCTTTCAAAGAGTAGTAAATTTTTTTCTTCTTTGCTGGAGAGGGTCCAGTTTTCCGATCCATATGTGAGAACAGGCCTAATGAGGGTCTTCTATATGAGGCATTTTGTATGACCATCTGTTATTCCTGTGATTTCTTTCACTTAAAGTGGTGAAACCTGGACAAAATGCAAATGCAGACCTTTATTGTGAACAAATAGATTCTGTAAATCAATCTTTAATTGAAAAGTTGCCAGCAATTGTCAACAGAAAAGGCATTATTCTGCAACAAAAATGGAAGAATGCACTGCATAAGAAGAACCCTGGAAAAATTTAATGAATTGGGGTGGGAGGTACTGTCTAATCCAGCATACTTGTCCGATGTTGCACCATCGGATTTCCATTTGTTCGGATCGTTTCAATACTTTTTAAGTGGCAAAAGATTTGCAAATTTGAATGATGTCCGAAATGCCATCTCTATATATTTTGCTCAAAAACCAATTGACTTTTAGCGATCCTGCGTTGAAAATTTACACACAAGATGTGAAAGAATGTTGATGAGGGTGATTCCATCAATGATTAAAAATAAAAACTCATGTGAAATATATATACATCAGGGAGACCGGAAAGTAATGCCCTTTTCTCACAATTAATTCAAACATAAATTTGCCATTTTCAACGCAGGATCTCTAAAAGTCAATTGGTCTTTGAACAATATATATATATATATATATATATATATATATATATATATATATATATATATATATATATATATATATATAAGAAATACAATAAAAATAAATTAATGAATATATGATAAGTTGAAGAAATCCACATGAGAAAAAAAAATTCAGAGAGTGGATAATCAATTCTTAATTAGATTTGTGCTTAATAGGATTAGATTCAAGATGGATAAGACTGATTAAGAAAAGAGTATTATTTTAAAGTTTAGAAGTGTAACTCGAAGGGAAAGGTTATTGAAATCACAGGAATAGTAGATGGACAAGGCATATTCTGACAAGTTATAGGCTGAAGCATTACAAGAAGAGTTATGATAGATATGTTTTATGTTTTGATAGATAGAGTTGAAATGATTTCTATTTCATCAATGAATACAAAATTGAAATTTGGAAAGCGATAAGGGGTACGGTCACAATATTGAATCAATACAGAAATAGGACAGTACTATGAGATTTCTGTAAAGTTTCTTAGTCTATTTATTGTTGTTATAGATTATATTTTTATCATAAAACAAAAATATTGATAAGGGAAGCTAGAGTTGAAAGGTTATTATATGCAGGATAATATTACATGGAAGATATATGCATTAGAAATTAATAGAAGATTGAAAATTATTTTTTGAAGGAGCATTTGTTTTTGAAAAAGAATAAATAAGTTGCTTATGAGGAGATTGGGGAAGGTGTTGCATTCCATGATGTGGTGTATAAGTTTGTTTTTTTTAGATTGTCATTGTAACTTATTTGGTTGAACATTCTATAGATGTTCCATTTGTCAGCTTAATAATATCTTGGTTCCTATACTAGTAAGTTGGGCAGCTGTTAGTAAGCTAGCTGATCTGAACTATCAAAGCTTAACAAAGAGGTACTGAAGTTGTACTTATTAATACTGATTCTTGGTCACAAGAACTATTTTTCCAATTTTTAAGCCAAGCCTATTTTTAATGTAAAACAGTACCAAACCAATTGACATAAGACGGCCCATTATGAATAAATAAGAACTATATATTTTTAAAACAATGTATTAATAATATTACCTCCCCACAATATGGACAAGTGCCAGAAATATGATCACTTAGTTCTGCACATGAGACAACCATCTGTAACCACTGAAAACAAAATAAAAGATAATGAAAACTCTGTAATTAAAATTTAAATTAACACATAAGATCGTAATAAATTTGATTTAATAAAGGTGGTGGCAATAAACAATGAGAATGGCAAGCATATATGCTAATTCCTTGAATAGATTCTTTAATTAATTTTATGAAGCAATTTATAAATCTCTTTATTCGCATCTCTAAAGGCTTGATGCTATAGATGCAGCAATCCCTAACAACAGTATCCACTACACTGAAAAATGACTTTCACGAATTCTTAATGATTAGCTGAATCGAGGATACTTTCCAAAGAACTTGAGAATAAGTGAGGGGTCAGGAATAAGCAACTCCATAAATCATACAGACCAATTTATCTCTTCTCTGCAATAAGCAAGGTTCTGGAGAGCCTCATGATGACCAGGTTATGGTCAGTTATTGATCAAATGACCCATCCACGGTGATACAGTTAAACTAAAGACAAAGGAAACCAATGAGAATTTGCAGAAATGTTGAAGAAACAGCATAATGATATTTTCGAGGTTGGTCAATTAAGTAGACCTCAGAAGCGTATTCAAAGAGGAGTCACCAGGGAATTCTGTGTGTCACCAATTTAGACACAATTTTTGGCACTAGCGGATCCAGTTAGGGATGGTGCGCCCAAGCTTGGATGTTCGAAAAATTCCAAAAAATAGTTAATTAAAGAAAAAAGAAATATAGAGAAAATGATTTCAGGCTCTATATGTTACATAAAATGGTATAAAACTGACCTCAGTAAAAAAAAATAAAAACCATGGGAATTGTTTGTGCGATGATAGTTCCAAATTTCCTCGCTACGGAGAGAGTGATGGGAGCAGATCAGAATATCTAAAATATAATATTTAATCCGTTGATTAATTGCTGGGAGTGCTAGAAAATGAGCAACTCCATGCCACTGTCTATGCTGACAACCAAGCTCTGTGGTGGCATCCAACAGCAGAGTGGAGGCCAAAGTAGCAGCAGAGTGATGTGCCAACCTCATGGCAAGATGGTGTAAGAGGAAGAAGAAGAGGATGGCTGCTGAGAAGACTTAAGCCAGACTCTTAACAGGCACGACAGATAGTGCATACCCCATCAACATGAATATAAAAGGTCAAAGAACATTTCCAAGTGAGGTGGTAGCCTACCTTGGTGTAAGGTTAGGTAAAGATCTAAATTAGCATTCAACTTTGATTACCTGGCAACTTAGGTGACTAAACATTGAGTGGGTTCAGTCATATCAGGGGCATATTCTGGAGCCTCAGATATACAGTGATGATGATGATTTATAAAGGAGTTTTACTTGGTATTTTGAGGTATGCATACACCTCCAGGTACCAGGGCCTCAGACAGGGTCAAAGAAAAAAATGGCATTTAACCAAAGGATGGTCCTGCTGTGTGTCATCAGACCATATTGACCAAACAAAGGTCACATCTTCACAAAAAAGAAGGTTTGGCAGGCGTTCTGGAAAATCTACAGGTAAGGATGGTGACCACTTATCATATTCGAGGCTAAAAATTTCTATATATGCAGATCCAAAACTTATGTATTATATTTTTTGGATAATATGTATTTATTTGCCAGTTACTTTTCAAAACAATTATAAGCTTTAAAAAAAAAAAAGTCTAAAAGTGGCAGAATTTGGCTAACCAACAATTTCAGTTTTCATTTAAGTGAAATCTTTTTTTCCTTTCTTCTTGACTGTTATTCCATTTTTTATAGGATAAAAATACAGGTCTATGGGCAATAAAATATTTTTTTTAATCACCGATAACCATTTAAAATTTTTGGTAATTGTGCCACCAAATCTAAATCCTCATTTCATACTAGTTTGCTCAATACAAAACAACTTTTTTCTAGGAACTAATTAAATGAAAATCCATAAATTAATGGATATAACTACTAATTTTTCCAGGCGGCTTTAAATGGAAGGCTAGCTAAGTTTCAAAGGAATGGATCTTCATGTCTGAGTTAAAATTTCCAAAACACAATTTGTCCTGTCTTGATCCAATGAATAAGCACCATTAGAGTTTTGAAATATCTTTTCTTTTTCAACAACTTAACTGACATTGTAGTGTGAATTTTTTTTTTTTTTAATTATTTTAATGGAATTTACAACTGTATTACATATAAAATACAATATGTAAATGTGAAATTGATAACATCACATGTACAACATGAAGAGAAACTACCCATTGGTAGAACTCAATGTGTGAATTTAAAAATCAAAATTAGGATTCATCACTTCTCCATGAATTCTCTTTCTTTTAACACCTGATTTGTCAGAGTTCATCACTCCTGGCAGATGGAAAAATTATCTTCAATTGGAAGTAATATATGTATAGTTATAGTAGATAATTTGTATTTGATATATTTACCAAAGAGAAATTTTATGGTAATGAAATAATAATATAATTATCTTCTTTAATTTTAATATAATCAGTTGTAAGTTTATCAGAAGTCCATGAATATGTCAAATAATAAGTCTTTTCCAAAAGCTACCTTAAAGCAAAAATGCAGGCAGTTGTCACCTTACTTGCCTAAATAGACTTTGGCAGTCCTCAAAAATTCTCTTAATGAGCACCATCGATCTGCAAATCGAAGATGACTGAACTTTATTAGTCATGCTAAGGAGGGCTAGAGCTCAGTAATTTTCTCATTCCAGTTTGTCACATTTCTTGTAGATGAAACATAAAAAAGCTGAAGACCATACTATCGGCATCCACTAACTGATCCACACATCAAAATTATTTCATAGGCTTGTAATGTGGCACCAATTGTCAAACATTACAATAATTGTCATATCTATTTAAATATAATACTTTTTGGTGTTACACATTCATTTTCTGTCTATCATCACACAAACCAACACCTTAATGGAACTGAAGGTCGATGGTAGCCAGGTGTTGGTTGATAAGATGATAGACAGAAAATGAATGTGCAATACCAAAAAGTATTATATTTAAAAGAGATATGGCAATTATTGTAATTTTTGAAACTTGGTACCACATTACAAAGTCAAGTAAACATAAAGGACTCTCTGAGGATGGGAAAATTGTTACGAAATGTCAGATGTAATAGATGTGATTAAAAAAGACTAAAGAAAAATGGAAGTTTAATTGCCTTAACCTTAAAAAAATATATAAACCTAAGCTTCCTAGAAGAAGAAAATACCTTTATTATTCTTGGACTAGTGTCCCTTTAGAACAAATTATAAATGCAGAATATAAATAAACATATTATATTTATGTGTCCATAACTTAAATTAAATATTTAAAAGATAATTGGTAAAATAAAGTAAGAATAAAGATAATAAAAAAAAGCATACATAAATAAATATAAAATAAACTGAAAAATATAAAATAAAATAAATAAATATTATCTGGGTGTAATTAGAGAGTCTTACAACTTAGATTCTTGTGTGCATTTCATGTTTATATGGATTGGGAATGGTATAGGTGCTTAAAGAGGAGTGATTTGAAAGAGGAGACTGACTTTGAGTGTCTAATATTGGGAGGAATAGAATTCCAGAGGGAGACTGCTTGAATTAGAAAGGATTTCTCAAACACAGCAGGTCAGACGGACGGGATCTGGTGGGACAGGATTGAATGGAGGATTTAAATTGTAGGCTCTGTAAAATATAGGAGGGTCACTGAGATCTAATAACCTGGTACAGGAAGGTAGCAAGAAAGTACTGACAGCAGTGGGACGGATAGAGCCACTTAAAGTCGGAGTAATACTGGGTAATATGCTTAACTCTTGAGATATTATCTGGTCTGAAATCATGAAATGAAATGAAATGAAAAAATAATATTATTCTGGGGCTACTGTCCCCTAAGAATAATAACAGAGTTACAAATTTATGTATCTTAGTCTGACATAATAAAAATATCAACTAATTTATTTTTAATTGTTATTTCAATTGTGCAATGGATTGAAATTAAACATTGTATAGATGCAAGTAATTTTACATGTTAGGGGAAGTTTGAATGTGGAGTAGGTGTTGGAACAGGAGTTGTTGGAAGGAATTTGTGGATGAGGATTGAGGTAGGAAGTGAGTTCCATAAGGAAGCAGCACGAATGACGAAGGATTTGCTGAAGGAGGAAGTTTTATGGGAGGGAATATATATAAGTCTATAGGTTGAGACCTAGTATTGAGATTGGATAGAGGAGCGCAGAGTAAGGAGTTCCAGGATGTAGGGAGGGTTTTTGGTTCTGAAGACTTGGAAAAGGAAAACGCCAAGAAGGAATTGTCGTCGGGAAGTAGGATAAAGCCACTTCAACTCGGTGTACCATAGTGAAAAATGGGAATGCCTGGGGATCCCGAAAATGTATTTTATGAAACAATTCATGAGTCTTTTTAGTCTCATTTCCAGCCTGGCAGATAGCCTTCCATACACCAAGCAGCTGTAGTTAAAGTGGGGGAATACAAGGGAGGTTACAAGGAGCTGTCTGGTTTTTAGAGGAATACAATCACGGAATCTTAGGAGTTGTTTAAGGGCAGTTATGGATTTTCGGGTAATCTGGGAGAAATGATTATCCCAGGAGAGGTTCTGGTCAAAGGTTACTCCTAGGTTTTTGACTGTAGGGAAAAAATGGATGGGATGATTATTGAGGTAAAGTAGAGGAAAGTAAGGAAGGGAGCTGATGAGATGTCTGGACCCGATGATAATAGCCTTGGTTTTATCTGCATTCAGCTTTAATTCATTTATTTCTGCCCATCTGTTGATGCAGTCGATGTCCTCTTGTAGCCTCCGTGCAGCCTCAGGCATCTCAGAAGGTTGGAATGATTGGTATATTTGGAAATCATAGGCATATAGGTGGTAATTGGAGTGTTAATTGGCGTTAGGAAGGTCACTAATATAGATGGAGAAAAGGGTCGGGGAGAGGAACACCTCGAGTTAATTGAAGTGATGATGAAGGAGGTTTATTCGGTATTGTAACTGTCTGAGATCGATTGGATAAGAAGGATAGGAACCATTTTAGGACGCTATTTGACATGGGCAGGCTTTGGAGTTTGGAAAGAAGGATCTCATGATTAACGGAATCAAACGCCTTGGAAAAGTCAAAAAGAATTAGGATGGAGATTTTCTGTTTATCTATGGCGGATTGGAGGTCTGGGTAATCCTTAGCAAGGCAGACTGGGTGGAATACTGGGAATGGAAACCAGATTGTAAGGGATTGAGGAGATGGTTTTGCTCGAGAAAGCTGTTCAACTGAGAGTGAACTAATCTTTCTAGAGGCTTGGATAGAATGGAGATGGGTCTGAAGTCGGAAGCTGATGAAGGAGTTGGAACTTTGTTCAGTGGACAGACTATGGCTCTTTTCCAGGATTTGGGAAAAATGGAATTTTGGAGAGAGAAATTATAGAAATAGAAATAGAAAATAACTTTATTCTGGGACAAAGTCCCTTTAGAATAACAAAATAGAACATAATTAAAATACTACATCTGGCCAAAATAAAACAATAATAAAAAAGAGAAAGTAAAGAAAATATTAGTTAAACAAGCTATATACAAAAAAAAAAAAAAAATCTATATACAAAACACTTAAAACTATGATAAAACACTTAAGACTATGTACAGTAGGAAAAATTATAATTATACTCTTTTAAAAAATAAAATAATAAAAAATACATTGAGTTCTTCTTTAAAATGAGGTGTGTTTCTGCTAACAAAGCTGACAATATAAAATATCAGTGTCTTTAAATAATGATTAATATGTAGACTCATCATTGTCAAATGCTAGAGGTACAGATTTAATTATATACCAATAAAAAATAATAATAAAAATAAAAAAAGCAAACAATAGATGCGGTCAGTGGCAATAAGAGCCGGAAAATATTGTAATATACCTAGTGAAGTTCACAGTATAGAATAGCACTATCGTTTGATGATGACTAGAAATGTATAATATCGAAAGTTTAGCAAGTATCTGACTGTTTTTGGGATAGGAATTGGAAAAGGAGGGATTTGAATGTGGATATGGAGGGGGAATGCCGAATTTTGATAGGTAGAGAATTCCAGAAATTGACAGCACGAGCTATAAAGGAATTCTGAAATGAGGCAGATCTGTGCGAAGGGATGTAGAGGTCAGAAGGTCAAGATCTTGTTGAAAGGGAATGGACTGAGGACTTAAATTGGAGAAGGTTGTAGGCGTAAGAAGGACAATGGTTGTTAATGATTTGATAGAGGAACGTACCTAGGAAATATTGACTTCTAAAGGAGGGGAAGAGCCACCCTAACTCAGTGTAGTGGTGAGAGACATGGGAGTACCTCGGGGCACCGATAACAAATCTTACGCAGCTATTCATTATTCGATAAAGAGTAGAGGAAAGGTACTAAAGGAAATCTGGACAAACAGATATTCTATGTTAGGGACGTCTGAAGGAGATTTTAGAAGGACTTTGGCCGTCAAACTGTCATGTACGAACAATCCCACACCTCCACCTGTTCGTTCCATTCGATCATGACGGAAGAGGGTATAGTTGGGTAAGGAAACGGATAGGGAGGGAATATCAGGTTTGAGCCAAGTTTCTGAAACGGCTATGATATGATGGAAGTTATGGTGAAAATAATCAAGGAATTCGTCATAATGTGCTAGAAGGGATTGGGAGTTAATGTGACAGGATATTAAGGTATTGGTCATGAATAGTGTTGCCCAAAATCGGTCTTGGTCTTGCACTTTGCAAGACCAAGACCAACGCCGCCTAACTGTTGCAAGACCAAGACCAGGACTGGTAAAAAAAATCTATTTTTAAAATAAAAATTAAGGCAAAATAGTTACTAATTATCGACAACTTTAGTTACTATACGTCAATAATTGGTATAACCAATATACTTTTGCATTTAACTCTTCTAATTTTTCAATTGGGCTTAGTTAGGTTTCTTCTATCTAAAAAATTAAAGTAATATTTCTATAGTGATAAGCTGATAAGGAACTGAGAGAATCTTGCGCAAGACCATGACAACGACTGAGTTTGCAAGACCAAGACTCGTCTCGGTCTCGCATTTGGGCAACACTAGTCATGAAGAGGTCAGGGTAAGGATGATCTGCGGAGTGTGACAAAATAGTTTTAATATTGATGGAATAGGCACATTTTTAAACTTACATAATGAGATATAATAACAAATTATGTACATTATATTGATATAGATCTTACTTGAAATCTTTTAATGAAGGTAAGCATAGAAAAAATTAAAATCTAATTTGAAGTAAAATAAAAAAATTTCATCTTTCAAAAAAATACTTAATAAGCAATAGAATAAATTATTATGAACTATAGAAACAAAAAAGACCAATAACATATTTAAAAAAGAAAAAGAAAATAAAAGATATTCATAAAAAAGAGGTTGGAGAGAACAGTGAGACTTATTTCATTCCAGCAATTCAATGTCTTCCTTTTTGTTGACGATGATGACTGGGGATCCATCCTGTCTTCTGTATCGTACCTTTCCTCCAGCCAACCATACGTATCTCAGCATACCCGACGCCCTTTTCTGCCTTGCCAACCAGTATAAATGCTTATTACCTGGACTCATTTCTTCGCCTAGATAAATTCTCTTGTCGCTGTTCCGGCCCAGATGCCACGTGGAAAAGTCCCTCTTGACCTTGCGTAAGTGGATGACTTCGTCACGCACCGTCCGGCGGACGAACCGCACGATGATTGGCGGTGGCCTAGGGTCCTCTCTTCTGGTCCTTTTCCTCTCCACAAAATCCAGGTCTTCAACACCCAGCTTTATGCTCAGAGCTGCACCGATAGAGCACACCAAGTCCTTGGTAGATTCTCCAGCATTGGGTGTGATACCTCGTATTTCCAGGGAGTTGGATAGTTGAGCTTGTTCTGTTTGGTTAAGTCTCACCTCCAGGTTGCTAATTTGAGATTTTAGCTGTTTATTCTCACTGAGTAAATTTTCTATTATTTTCTCTTGCTTTAATGCCATCTCTTCTATTTTTTTAAGTCTCTCATTATTTTCAAATGCGAGATCGCTTTATTGGTGTAGGATTTATGAATGGATTTAAGGAGATTGTTAGGGGTAATATAGGAATAGAAAAAATATTAGGATTAAGATTAAAGAAGGGATGAATGGGGAGTGGAGCTGGTGCGTGGAAAGATGAATGAGAGGAATAGGAGACCAAGTTAATATTGAGTACGTCGGATGAAATAGAGATAGACTGAACTTATGGACTTATAAGATTTATGGACATATGGAGAGAAGAAAAGCTACCAGCTGAATGAAGGAGAACAGTTATTTTCCCCATACATAAGAACCTGTAACACTACAACCCATGAAGGGTCTGGGGTTCAGTACTATTTAGGGAAAGCACTATTTCTAGGTCAACAGTTGTGCAAGGAGGTGATTTGACCGAGATCACGCTCAACCGCCAGGTTTTCCCCCTTAATTAATTATTTAATTAAGGGTACCCACTTTATAGAGGCTGGGTGTGTCCCAGGAGGGACTCCTGACCCAAGGTCGCCCCACGGCCAATGAAACAGATAAATAAATTTTCTGCCATGAGCCGGGGTTCAAACTCGGGACCTTTGCATTGGAAGCTCAGTACCCTACCACTGAGCTAACCCGCTCCCATCCATACATAAGAAAAAAGATGTATTTTCATGTGATAATTACAGAGGCACTTCCCTCCTTCCCACTGCATATGAAATATTTTCAATTAATCTTTTTAATAGGTTGCTTCCATTAGCAAATAAAGAATAAATGTCTCCTTGGTTCGATGAAGAGTGCAGAGCTCTCACTAACATAAAGATTGTGACCCATAAAGCCATGATCAACAGGCGGGTGCGTAGAACTCTTGACGAATACTGAAGAAAATATCAGGAAGAGAAACATGGTCATCAAAGAAAAAATACACAACAAAGTAATGCTGACTTAGTAGAATGAAGAAGTTTAGATCTGCAAATGAAGTCAGAAAATTCTTTCAGAAAGTCAACACAACTAGTAAACCATTCAAGCAGACACCAAGTATGTGTATGAATGTGGAAGGAATCTTATTGACAGATGATAAGGCTTGTATGGAAGAACAGAAGAAATATTTTGAGACCCTGCTGAATGGAGGGGAAAAGTATCCACCGGAAGATCAGATTTATGAACATGAATTGGAACCACCTAATGAGGAGGAAGTTGTTGAGGCAATTATTCATCCGAAAAAGCATAAGGCTCATCATATCTTTGCTTCATAATGTATTTAAAGTACTTTCGAACATATTATTTTGCCAGATTCTTCCAATTGGGTAACAGGAGATTGGTCATTACTAGAGACCGGATTACCATGTTATTGCACTTTTCATTTTTATTTTTATTAAACTCCGGACCGGAATATCTATCCGTTTTAAGACCTATAGAATAACATATGTAAATTTTATATTGCACGAAATTGCATGTTTTTGATTTTTGTTGTATTAAATTGCACATTTTCGCACTTTTGTGATAAATTAGACGATTTATAAATACAAACATATAAGTGAGTGTGTTAATATTTATTTTACTTTTTATTTTAGGTACTTCTCTCTTAGCGGGTAGAGTCCGACTGCTATCCGCCAATGTTTATAACCTTAACACTGATAAGCTCTTCGTATTCGTATATATTGTATTATATTCATTTTATTATGTGTTCGTATTCATATTGATTGTATTGTATTGATATTATTGAAATTGTGAACAAAAACAGAAAGAAATGTAATAATAAATGCTTTTATTTCACAACGTATATTTAAAAATACTTTTATTTCACAAGGTATATATTAAAATATACCAAAACATAAATATATTGAAAAACATAAATATATACCAAAACATATATATCGTAAAAACATAAATATATACCAAAACATAAATATATAATTAAAAAACATTACGAAAACATTGCAACATATATACAAAAATAAATGAAATAATAAAAATAGGCCAAAAATAGACAAAAAAGGATTAAATAATAAAAAACTACTTTAACAGGATATGTACATATAAAACAAAGATTATGAATAAACGATGGAAACAAAATATGAAAAATTTTATTTTGGTAGGGAAAATAATTTTATCGTATTTAAAATAGCGAGGAAGAGATCCTGATGTTTATGCGCCCGCCGCCACAAAAACTCACATAAATATGAATGCAGGTGTTGTCTGGCAGTTCCTCTGTGTTTTTTATTTCTCCAGTTGGCTGAGCCCCATAATCTTTCGATGTGTTGAGTATGGACTCCACTTGATGGATCAACAAAATTATATGTGTGATTGACCTGAAAATGGTCGTAGTTTGCTTCATTCAGTTGTTTTGTGTTGTATCCTTTCCAACAGTCGGAATAAATCGTGCTTCCCTCTTCTACATTGTTTTTGATAGCTTCTAATAAAGTCCCTGCTCTCCTATCCTTTATTTTAACTATAAAACACTCGTCTGTTTCTCGGCAAACTCCGCCAAACATCCACTGCTGAGGTAAGACTCTCCCCATATGATTTTTTCTTTTCGAAAAAAGACTCTCGTCTACTTCGACGACTTTGCCAGGCCCTCCAATTTTTTTATTCGACCTGTATAACATGTCATGGGCACAAACTTCTCTTAAAAATTTGTTCCATGCTACGACAGTTTGGGTGGATAGTTTGAGCTGCTCTTTCCCCCACTGAATTGTAGTTAAATTATGGGACCACCCATAAATGAATTTTAAAGCCATCAAAAAAGAAATCCTGGACCCCTCTAACCACGTTCCTTTCCTTATAGAAACGGTTTTGTTACACCTACGAGAGCATCTCCATTTAATCTTCCCGTCGAACTTCATTTTACGACCATCACAATAATCACAATATTTCACCTTATCAAATATACCGGCGTCTTGAAAATATTTGATAGCCCCTTCTTCCGAAGACGGCAATTCCCACAATGTGACAACATCCATAGTTCCAGTTGAAACAAAACAACACAATATTAACAAAAGAACACAATATAATACTAAACAACACAATAACTTAAAGAATACTAAAGAACAACTAAACTAAAGAACAAGAAAAACTAAAGAACACAATAACTTGAGAAACGAGATTGGGTCGATAAGGGAGGTTATCTGAAACGAGATTAGATAAGAAGGAAGGTTTCGACTCTACCCGCTAAGAGAGAAGTACCTTATTTTACTATATTATTCAAATTAAATTCATTATTCAAAATAGAAAAATATGAAGAAGGTAAATAATTATCTGTAAAGCAAAAATGGTATTCATTACAAAAGGAAGAAGTAAACAAAAGTGAGACCTATTCTTGGAATAGAACTCGCCTAAAGTATTGGATAATAAAAAGCTGCTTTGTCAGTAAGACATTTATAGTTATTGTTTAGGCTTGAATCCTCACTCACCGTTCAACCCTTCAGTATCTCTTTTGGCTTTGACTTGATTTGTACAAATTTCATTCATATCAACAAAAAAAATTGATAATGCCGAAAGTAAAATCTAGTCTCTCGTCAATAATTAAAATCTGGATATAAAAATATCCCGATTTGAAATGTGAGAAAAAGAATTTGATGAGAAAGTTCTTTACACCTTATGAAAAATCAATTAGGTAATAGTAAATCACTGATAGATGCTCATTGTGGAACATGTAAAAAAAAATATTCCTATCGAAGAATTGAATGTTTTTTTGTTGTTTTTTTTTGGGCTTTTTAGAAAGAACGCAATCCCCAAAAATATTTTGTTTAGTGATATAGAAAAACAGTATCAACACTAATATTTGAACACTTGAAAATCTCAAGATTACAGTATTTTTTTATTTTTTAAAAAAATACTTTAAATTTTAACAAAAACGTTTTAGAATTTATAATATTTGAAATTTCAACCCTATTAAAAAATTAAGTTTTTATTATTATTTTTAATAGAAGTTAAATATCTAAAATTGGTCTGGTCTATATAATATATAGGTATAGAATGGAGACGCATGGCAGTTGCTGGTGGAGGAATCCAGAATCCTTTGTGGGTTGAAGAAGAAGTATAAGAAGAATAAGGCTTAAAAGAGTACAATCGTTTATGTACATGGGATCACAGGTGAATCAAGAGAACAGTGTAGAGGAAGAAATTCATAGACGAATCCTCTTTCAATCAAATCAAACATATTTCTCCCTCTAAAGACATTTAAGAATCGCTTCTTTGTCCGAGGGGTTGAAGAAAAGAATTTATAAAATAATCATTCGGCCATTGCTTTTATACAGTTCAGAATGTTGGACTGCTGCTAAAGCCCAAGAGCAAGTCCTCCTTAGGGTTGAAAGGAAAGTGCTCTCTCGAATATACGGTGGAATATACAAGCAAGACACCTGAAGAATATAAGCAAATATAAGCAAATCTATCCATGTTCTTAAAAGCATCAAGATTTTGCTGGGCTGGTCTCATTGCAAGGATGGATCCGAAAGATATACCTTCCAGGATCTTTTATCTCAGAATGGTACATTGTTTATATTTAGGTTTATTTTGCGATGTATTATCGCTTATTTATATGCACCAGCCCGGCAGTATTACCCGGTCTTAGGGATTAAGACATCAAAATAGTGCCATAATACTGTCGGGTCGGGAGTCTAGAGCTGTCTTTCGTTCAGAGTGGACGTCTACCCCCACCAATTTCACCAAGCTCCAGGCCGTCTCGTCTAGTTCACCTCACCAGCACCATTTTCGAAGATCAGCGGTTGGGCGCAGCTGAGTTATCGATACATATCGATACCACCCCACCATCGATTGCTCGACAGCTGGACATAGGAAGGTAACAGGTTGGAAGCAGAACCTCCAACTTGGCTTGTGTTTTCTATTCTCACCAAGACATTTAAATATTAATTAACTGTTTTCTTCGCTAAATTAATTTATTCTTTTGGACCATTATTTTTCTCTCTCGTTTTATTTTTAATTTCAGAAATTGATTTCTTTGTTTCTTTATTAATAATTGTTAATTTGGGTTTATGTTCACTGAGTTATATTTTGTGTTTTATTCATTTCAGTGAGATTCATCCACTCTTTATTTATTTTTTAACTATTGTATATATTTTTTATCTCAATAAATTGTAAGCATTCAAAAGGGGAATTTTATTCTACATTTTTTTTACTTATTGAAGTATTTCTATTTTTTAATATTTTCTTGTGCATGCACATTTTTTATGTTTTTACAGGTCTCATTTTATTCACTAAATTTTTTTCCCTTCTTTCCCAACATTTTTAATTTTACTCGAATTTTTCCCCACCATTGAGGAAACGCACCGGGGAAAGATTTGTACTTCGATTTTGAAGTACCCCTGGCCCCAACAACATAAATTAAAACTCTCAGGCTAGCCATGCACGTGGTGGTGAATGATTCCCAAGGAGTCGAGGACTATATTTTCAGCCAACCTAGCTATGTCCTTAATGTCGACACCTAGTTCCTCGAGGAAGCTCCTTGTTCTTTTTGGAATTGTTCCGCAAGACCCAAACCAGAGGCCTCTCACGGTGAATTCTCTCTCTCCGAAAGGTCTCACGGAATTTCTCATTAAGGAAAGGGATACATTTAGCGTACGTGTCCTTCTTTTCCCCTAGAATAGAGCAAAATGGGTTGCAACACTGAATAATAGTAGTAGTACATTAGAAACCTTCAGATTTTGCATTTAATTTTACTTTTTTTACCTACCTAGATGTGAAGAAATAATGGACGCCATTAATCGGTTAAAGAATAATAAGGCACCTGGAGCTGATGCCCTGCCTGCTGAACTCTTCAAGAACGGAGGTGAGGAGCTGATTATAACGTTGCAGAATCTAATCTTGACCATTTGGAAGGAAGAGGTTTTGCCGGAAGACTGGAAAAAGTCAGTTACTTGTCTTTTCTTAAAAAAAGGAGACAAACTCCAGGGTAAAAATTACAGGGGTATCTCTCTTCTCTCTTCTGTATATAAGATTTTGTCTAACATTCTGTTCCAGCGTTTTCTACCCTTTGCAAAAGTTTGGTCCCTACCAATGAGGATTTAGACAGGAAAGATCTACGACAGACCAAATATTCTGCCTCGGAACAATCCTAGAGAGAGGAAACGAATATCAGATTAAAACCCAGCATCTTTTCGTTGACTTCAAGGCAGCTTACAATAGCATTGTAATCAAGATTAAGAAAGCATTGTAAAAAAAACAAATATAACTCTTCTCTCTTTTGTTTCCTGTGATTAATTATTAATTCATATTTTAGCATGAGCATGTGCTCTTACATCTTATATCTTGACTTTCCCTACTTGATGTTTATATGTAGCATGCCATACTGTTGTATATAGAATAAGTATCTTTTTTGTATTTTTATTATCCATATTATCTTCATATTTATCTTTAATTGTATATAGTAATTATGTGTAAATTCTCTCTTTTTCCTTTTATTTTATCTCTTTTGCTTGTACATTGTATTAATTCTGTAAATATTTCTTTCTGTAAATAGATTTCTTAACCTTTTTTGCTGCTTTATAAAAAAATCCAACCTAACCCCTGTAGTAGACATCCCCCTGTATTTACACCATTAGTTGACATTGTGTGAGGGAATGAGAAGGTATATATAATATATAGGAATGTGAGGTAGCACTGTGAATTGTACTCAATTGTGCAGTGGACAAATTGCTCATTGGAAAATCTCACATCGATAAAGAATCGAAAAGAAGAAAAGGTCCGATCAGGTAGCTGGCAACAGATGGCGAGGACGACGCCAAACACTTAAGGCCTGGACACCAACACAAGAAGACATCATCTGGGAAGAGAGGCTTACTACATTGAAGACCAAGATTATCAAGCCAACTGTTCACTCATATATATTCATTTATTATCAGTTGTCAAAATAAATTGTTTTATTATACCGGAGTGAATAGTCCTTTTATTTAGTTGTCCTATAGGCCTAACAATTGAAGAATAAACCAGGTGAGTCAATTCATTCAAAGTGTTTACTAAGTCCCACATTTCATATATATATTCTTATTGTTTTTTCTCACACAGTGTCATAAAAGGTAATAGATCCCCGAATTCCCAATCACAGTTGAACACCTCAAAAAGTCGATATCCAGTGCCGGGGTTTTGTTTTAAAGATTCACGAGTATAAATAACCTTAAACCCCGATATAAAAGCGGAAGGCTATGCACCTATTCCCGCCAAAACGAATCATTTAAAATTTAACTTCCTGTAGGTTATTTACACCCCTTCTCACCTGAGCTAGCATAGTAGATTAATCATGACCAAATAATGGGTAAGTAACTTATATTCTCTATAATTATCTCTTTAGAGATGAAAGGTTGGTAAAGCCAGGCACCCAACAAGTAAAAATTCCGATAGAAAATTATATTTACTAAAGCTTATTTTATTATCTTCTTTTTAATCCTTTTTTTGGTCATAGTACTAACTGGAAAGAACTGTACAAGGCACTTGAAGGGTTGAATATCCCATATAAGCGACTATGACTGCTAACCAAGAGAGATGTAAAGTGTAATGTGCAGGTTGGTGGTCAAAGGACAGAAGAGTTCTCCTCAACAATAGAACTTCACCAAGGTGATGCCTCCTGTTTAACTTGGCACTAGAAAAGGCAGTGAGGGATTCTGGTCTGCAAACTAATGGGACTATTTACAATCGAATAGTTCAGCTATTAGCCTATGAGGATGATGTCGACATCATAGGGCGGTAGTTACAGTCTGTTAGAGAAGGATTTTTAGCTCTGTTGGAGGCTGCCAGAGCACTTGGGTTAGAAGTGAATGAAGGCAAAACTAAATATATGGCCACAGGAGAAGTCCCTCGACCTGGCGACCTGAAGACCATCAATATTGGCCCCCTTAACTTTGAGAAAGTAGCGCAGTTCAAGTATTTGTGGTCACTGGTAACACAAGACAATGTACCCGAGATTGAGGTCAAGAAAAGAATATTGATGGCTAACAAGTGTTGTTACTTTGCTCTTAGCAAGGAATTCACCTCTCGCCTTCTATCACAGCAGAACAAGCTACATCTTTACAAAACACTAATCGGCCCAGTCCTGCTGCATGCATCAGAAACATGGACGACTACTAAAAGAATTGAGCAAGACATCCTAATCTTTGATTACTCGATTTTTAATGATCAAAAGATGTGATTCAGAGAATGAAGCTTGGAAGACTGAGATGGGCTGGCCACATGGCTAGGATGAAGAAAGAAGCAATCCCTAAGATAATTCTGACAGAACCTCTCTACGGCACAAGAAGAAGAGGGAGACTAAAACTAAGATGGTCAGACAGTGTGGCAAGAGATTCAAAGGATGTCCTGGGAGTCGGGAGCTGGAGGACAGAGATGACTGGAGGAAGCTGGTGGAGGAGGCCAAGACTAGCACCGTGATAGGTAGTTAGATATCATAAGAGATAAGATACATCAATATTGTTTATTGCTAAAATATTTTTTTTTTTAATAGGTTTATAATGTGGGCATTTTGTGATAAATAAACTTCAAGTTGTCTGTATGTAACATTCCATTCTGATCTGCAGTCAACATTGCCCATCTCTACTTGTAGTGTTTTTTTTTTTTTAGAGGATGAGATACAGCAGTCTTTTACAGGCTTGATTGCTGTTTTTTCGGTAGTTTCTGCTGTTTTTTTCTCCTACAGAAAGCAAAATTTCATAGCTGCACGTTGCTCCACATAATGTTAGTATAATATATTGAAAACACCTACCACAGTAATAAACCTTAAAATGTTTTATTTTATTTTACTTTATATCAAAAGATAAAAATTAGCTAATTAACAAAGTGGCAAATGGTTAATACTTGAGCATTTAATATGAATTAAAAACAAAAAAATTAAGAAAAATTATTATAAATTAATTTTATTTTGAAGTATTATTTACCTGATAAGATAATCAAATTTCTTAGAATCTATGATATAAAAATAAAAATAAAGAATAAAAACTAAGCTAAGCTAAGTACTATACTCTGAGGTACCTGAACCAAACAAGAATGATGATACCATGATGAACATTGAGGGTTATTACACCATTTAGAAGGTGGTTCTTCATTTTCAATTGTATTCATAAAACAAATATAGCATTCATTTTCACTACCTATGGTTTCATAAGTCGATACTTTCACAGGCAACTTTTCTATTTCAAATAAATGAATAAGATTTTCTGCAACATCAACTTCTTCTTTCCAACCAAATAACTGAAAGCAACAATAATTAAAATAAAATTGGGTTTTCCCAATAAATGATAACATATTAAGATTAAATATCTTATTTTCATCATTTGTTTGAAAAATAATAGAAGGGACTATTAGTGGTATTGATGAAATAAAGTTTATTTAAACTTCTATAAATACACAGTCATCCTAACAAATTCTATATCATTCTTTCTAGAGGTCAGCATTGTCTTCTCAACCTCACTTTATCTTTACATCATAAAGCCTTTTCTGTTGAGTGACCAACTTACATTGTGCATGTAAAGAATGATGGCCAAACATGTTGGGTCTCAGAGTGTCTGGTTCAGAACATTGCAAGTCCGATTCTCACTTCGGTCAGTTAATATTTATTTCTTGGTGGCCCTGTGGGAAATAAATCTTGACTTTCCCTCTATAGTTAGTATTTGGTGGGAACCTTGAAGATAGCCATCAGGGGTTGACAAAAAAGACAACAAAAGACCACTCACTCCTAGATTAGTTTCCTCAACAGTATTAGTACTGGTACATTGAACACAGTAGCATACAGACCCAAACATGTTATTATTCAATAAATATTACTTCCTTCTACTTTGTTAATTGATGAATTAAAATTATGTTTATTTTCTTGTATCAATTCATTATAATTATGTTTAATTTTCCATGGACAGTTTTACAACCAAATTGCAGAACTAGTTATGAGTAACCCCCTCACACCCGACTTATCAAACATCGTTTTAAATGATTTCTTAAACACCATAGCTCCTCAGTTTCCAAATGACATGAAATGAAATGAAAATAGCCTTTATTTATGCATAAATATTACAATTTCTTTCCAACAGATACTACTTTCTAATAACTTCCTCTCCAACACCATTGAAGCTGAACGCAGACAAAACTAAGGTAATCCTCATTGGTTCCAAGCCCCTCATTAGTTCCCTTCTCTCCTTTACTTTACCTCAATAACCGTCCCATCAGATTCTTTCTGACAGTCAAAAACCTCGGAGTGATCTTAGATCATAACCTCTCTTGGAACAACCACATTTCCCAGGTTACCCGTAAATCCATAACTATCCTTAGACAACCCTTCGATTCCGTGATTCCATTCCAAAAAAAAACCAGACAGCTCCTTGTAACATCCCTTGTTTGGGGACAAATGGGTAGGGTGATAGGAGGGCTGGAGAGGGAGATGGGTGCAGGAATTCCCCCCACTCCTTGCATAATGATCAAGCAATAGTACCTTACCCACTGCTTGTGACTTCCCTGTCCTCCCTATCCCTATCAACGCCTATTGTCACCTTCTCGTGGTGCTCCCCGGGAAGTCCAATGGGACTCGCGAACGACACAGGCGAGGATAGACACTTCTCTCTAATTTAGAGGACAGCTATGTGGATCCTTCTATGACACCCTAGCTAAGTGGAGGGAGCTCGAGCCATGACTGAGTGGCAGGGGGTGTCTTAAATAAAAATACACTGTCAATTTGACCTACTTGGGGCACTTGGCGCACCACTTTGTAATTAGCCTTCTGCAGGGAGAGGGGGTAGTACCTGTAGCGACCTTTAATCACTTCCATACTCGTGAGAACAAAAATGCAAGAACCACATAATATTAATAAATGGACAGACAACATTGGCAAGGACATGGCATTTGACATGGAACTGTTATCGAAAATGGAATTGTTAGAGAAGAAAGTGGCTGGGAGATACTCGGAAAGGTCATTGATGGACCCTCATGAGGAAAATTCAAGAAGCTCAACTGAGAATATCTCAGCTAAGGTTTCTAAGCTCTCTGTAATAACAGAGGAGGCTAAGGGTACCCAAGTTCTCTGGTGCACAGAGAAGATAATACAAAAGGAGGAAGAGACTCGAGGCAATGTCTGGGATACACAGTCATAAAGCCTGTACATTACAGCTGTACATTAAGCCTGTACTGAGCTACGCAGCTCCGGCTGCAATGGCAACTGTTAGTGAGGAGCCTGGGCCAGTCACGAAGCGTAACAGATCCTCGCCGGGGAACTCGACGCCTGTGGCGAAGAGGGCCAGAAGCAGGGAAGCTGGTGCAATTTCTTATGCTTTGGCGGCTGGGAGCAGTAGGGTTGCAATTATCCCCTGTGGATATCCATCAGTACAGCTTTCTAGGGAACAGAGCGAAGAAGTTAAAGCCCAGGTGATCAAATCTGTTGATCATCTAGAGTTCGGTGGCATCATCCCTGAATTTAGTGGCTTCAGCCACCATCTGGGGCGATGTATCATCGTCTGCGATGACCAAGCCACCAAAGATTGGATTTATAGTGTAGTGGAGGGCTTCACTATCAGTGGGGGTATTAAACTCCATGCTGGTAATGTAGAGGAACTCAAAAAAGCTGTCAGGGTGGGGGCATACTTCCCTGGTCAGAAAAAAGCGGAGGAGCTACTCATTAGGAGAATCTGCATTCAAAATGGTAGGATTCCGGACATTGATAGTTGGCAGGTGTTGGGAACCAAGGTGGAGACGAACGGACTCTACGGAATCTTTAGAATCCCCGAAACAAGTATTAAACACCTTGAGGGCAGAAACACGATGGTGACGTATGGCGTGGCCAAAGTTGTACTTAAGGTGTTTGAGAAGAAGAAGCCGCCCCAAGAAGCAGTAACCTAGTGCGCAGACCGCAAAGGTGGGTACTGCTTCTTCAAAAGTTCCCCATGTAGAGGAGGTAGGGAGAACTTTTGCTTCCAGTAGTGGAATTGTTGTAGCATCTGAGCCAGCTCGGGAGGACTTATCACCGGTGGGTGTGTGGGGAGGGGGTCTCTGGACCTAAGAAAGATGAAATCAGGACGGAAGTACCTCCTCGGACCCCGGCGGCGGGTGGTCCTCCTGTAGCTGGCTCCCTTTAATGACAGTTAAGCTGTTGCAGTTGAATCTCCATTCCTGCGTGGCAGATTGTGGAGTGCTTCAGTAGTATGTTAGAGGTAAGGATATTGATATAGTATTGATTCAAGAACCTTACCTGTTCGAGAACAGGATTATGGAGCTGAACATGACTGGATATAGCATTATTGCAGTGCCTGAGTGTCCAAGAACCTGTATCCTGTTCAAAAATAAATTAAGCTGATGCCCCTGTGGCATCATTGTTTCAGAGACCTGGCAACGGCTCAACTGGCCCTTTCTGAGAGTAAGGATGGAGAATCATAGTGGCGGCAGGGTATCTCCCCTACGAAGAAGACATCCCTACAGCGGCTCTCAGAAGCTTAGGGGAGAGGATGGGAAAAAAACCGGTGATTGCAGGACTGGATGGCAATGCTCACTTGAAACTGGGATCTGGGAAAGTTCTCAGAACAACAGAAGAGGTGAGTCTCTTTTAGAGTACCTAAGTAGCTTCGATATTGAGATTTTAAATAGGGGCAATGTTGCCACCTTTGTTAATAGAATCCGCTCGGAAGTAATAGACATAACATTAGGCACGCGTTGCTTGAGTTCTAGGATAAGGGAATGGCACGTTTCTAATGAAGAATCATGCTCTCATCACCATTATATCATAACACAGAGGGAAGGTTCATTCCTGGTACTCTGGAAGAGATAGCGTCTTGTACTGATACCGAAGAGTAAACGATATTCGGAGGACCCATCGACTTATCGCCCATCTCACAGTGAGACGAAAGACGGGTTTTCATGGACATGGGTCTAGAACTTGTAAATGACGTCGGATTAACTTGATATTTAGTACCCCAATACTGCTCCATTCTATGTAACCAACCAAACCCTACACCATGACCTTAATATCCCATTTGTCCTAGACATTATCCCTCAACTATTTTCCAAATTTCATCAAAACCTTACATATCATCCAAATCCAATTGCACGATCCCTCTCTAGCTCTGCTCATCCCTACAATCCTTCTCGAAGGTTTAAGTGGCCCAAATACCTGTTGTAAGAATATATTGGAATTTAGCAATGGCCAGATTCTCCACTCAAGCCATGTATTCCTGCCTTGTATGTTATAGTGTCTCTGCTCAGCCTCTATATTTCCCTCCACAAGTGAGGGGAAAGGCTTGGCTCGGAGACCTTCAGTGAATGAATAAAATAGCATGTGTGTATTTAAGTAGTTATTTTGTTAGATTAGTTTATTTTGGTTTAGTTTAGTATCTTTAAGTTTATATACATTTACTTTTAGTATTATTATATTGCTGTTTATTTATTTTTATTAATTGTGCATAGTATGAATGAGCTACTCTTTATCACTATTACTATTGTCCTTAAATGTGACAGATTGTAATATATCTCAATAAAGAAATTTCCTGAAATAAATAAAATTTAAAAACACAATAAATCATAAATTATATGTATATGTAGTAACTTAACTCATAATTCATAGAATGTATAATTTATTAATTATAAATATTCATTTTATAATGGTTGTTAACACCGCATATACTTTTATCTTTCCTTTTTTTATTATTATTTTTTCTCACCAACTCACTCTTTGAATGTTAATTTATTTTTTCTTTATAAAAGGTTGAGGGATAATTGTCCCAGAAACCTATTTAAATGTATATTATTTAAACATTGTCTTTATTTCGCGATGTATTATCGCATTTGTATATACATACCAGCTCGGCAGTAATACTGAGCCTTAAGAATTAAGACATCAAAATACTCCAATAAGACTGCCTGGAAGTTAAGTCTGGAGTGAGCTTTCATTGACATTGGGTCCTCATACTGGACATCTTTCCCCACCTTCTCACCAGCTGCTCCAGTTAACTCAACCTCACCGGCCTAGTATAGCGCCTTTTTGTAAAGCACAGCTAATCGGCACATCAGAAGTCAGGAGCAAGCATTCATAGATGCAGGATCTAGGTATTTGGACATCAGATCCTCCCACCCCACCAGCTGCTCTGGGCTCAACTCACCTCGCGCCAGCCTAACGCCATTTTTCACCACTGTTTATTTTGTTTGTTTTAAATTTTATATATATCTTTTTTCCCCTATAATAAACATTGTAAACATTCAAAAGGGGGATTGTTTATTTTCCA